TTTTCATGGAAACTGGGACGTAAATCATTGGTAGAAGTAGAAAGCTTGTTTCTCTAAAACAATTCAGAAAATCATTAGTTTGGATCCAAATTGAAAATCCACCAACTATTTATAAGTGATTTACTTGATTAAAGTGTGTGTGAGTAAAATAAATTAAACAAATTATTATAAAGCACAGCAAAACTCTCTTTAATAATTGCACTAATTTTGTTAAGCAACCAGATCTAATTTTGACACGTAATAGCATCATAATTTTACTTTAGAAACGAATTAAACTAATTTTTTTATTGCTAAAAGTCAAACTATCTCAATTCATGCAGCTATTTTGAGACTGGAGAATGAGATTTATTTGCACATTGTGCGAGGGTTATTTTACAACTGATTACTCTGATCAATTTAGTCAAACTCCTTAGCGATATACATTAATATTGGCAGAAATATTCTCCAATGTTCTGATTTGAAATCGCGAATATATCGCAATATAAATATGTTTCTTAATATTCAATTGAAGCAATTCCAAAACAGATTTTTTTTTGCAAATGTCTGCATTTCGTATTGATATAATTTCTTCGGTTTTCTTCTTTCTTAATTTGCTTAAATGTACGTAAGGCCAGGTGCAATGAAATAAGAACATTTACAAATCTTAAAATGACGCATGATGATTGTTGCACATATTTTGAAAAAAAAAAAAAAAAACATTGCACAAATAACATTCTAAATTTATCAGCAGCAATGGTATTCCTATGGCTTTCCCTGTCTATCTTGAATATTTTTTGCAATTGCCTTGCATTTAATGTAATCGCTTATTCTACTGGCTTCGTTTATTGGGCAATAATGACTAATAATTCAATGATTAGAGCTAATTTGTGCCTTCATTAGTTTTGCGAAAAGACATTAAATTTAGCGACTTTTTTGAATGGGGGGAACCACTATTAAATCGTAATTCATATAAACAACGAAATAAAATAAAATAAATGCGATCATATTTTATTCTAATAAATAAAATAATTTGAATATTATTGAATTAATTTTAATCTTTAATTTATTTGACTTTATTGAAATAAAAATGACAATGTTTCTTTGAAAATTGATTTAAACTGCATCAAGGGGTAGAGATCTTAATACAATTAAAATTAATAAATTTTTATGCTTTTGGTTCTTCTTTTTTCTCCTCATTGCTCTTGATGCATTGTTTTGCGGGGCCAGTTTGTTGGATTTGAACTTGGCGCACGTTTGATCCTTCGACGGCCGGAGTCTGTGGACATTTAAGCGAGAGAACGCCATCGGATGAAAGGCTTGATGTTACATCTTCGGGTTTGAATCCCTTTGGTAGATCGTATCGTCGAGTGAATTCGCGTGAAATGTAACCATGATCGTCCTGCTTCTCTTCATGCTTGGCATGCACCACAATTGAATTGTTTTCCGTTTTCACCGAGATCTCGTTCGGTAAGAAGTGTTGAACATCGAGGAAAACTTGAAAACCCTCCTTGCCAATGTGCGATTGTTTCTCGAGTTTGTCCAAATGCGACAATTGAGATCTCAAATAATTGCCGGTGTCATTGATAGAACGGAGCGCTGAACGTCTTACCGGACAAACCCACAATTCACTTGGTTGATGATAACCCGATCCAAAATGATGATAGCTGGATGGGTAAAATTCGTCCAAAATGTATGGCAAAAGCGACATTTTTATTTATTTTCCAATTTTATAGACTTTTTCTTTTTTCAAATATAAATTATTCAATTCGAATTCTTTTTTTTTTTTGTTTGCGATTATTGACGTACTACGAACACTGTTTTCTTATTCGTTTTGTTTTTAACTTAACTTTGATTTGTATTGAACTGACGCACAGTACAATGCGAAACCGTATTTATACTAGTGAAACCATTCAACAGCTCTTTCGAGCATTTTCGGTCATATAAAAGAACTCTTCTCTGGAACGCTCGAGAAATTCGTTAGTCACAGACACGTAAGACATTGAATGGTAATAGAAATTTCGCGACTGTGCATCGCGCCGTATAGAGTGTTCATGTATTATATCGAAATTCGAGTGTGTTCGAGAAAGTGCTCTGTGCGTTCGTTGCATGTAGTCAATATAGTAGTCGCGTGCACACCTATTGGTATAAATACAGTGCCGCATCACCAGACAGCGTCAGTTGAAATCAAAGTATTACAAAGTCACAATCTAAACAAGCGAAGCAAAATTATTCAACATAAAACGCCAATAAATAAGTTTAAAAAAAATTCTAACGAATAAAAATAATTGAGTGAAATAAATTTCGTGAGAAATAAAGTGAAAATGTCGCTATTACCATACCTTATTGATGAAATGTTGCCAACAAGCTATCATCAACCAAGCTTGCGTACGGCCAATTTTTGGACATCACCAATTGAATGCAAGCTATTCGGTTCGTTAAATCCAACCAGTTATGTGCGGTCAACACTGTCAAATTTTAACGATCTCGAAAAACAAGCAAAACTTGGAAAAGACTGTTTTCAAGCCTGTCTCGATGTCGCTCACTTTCAACCAAACGAAATTTCGGTAAAAACCATCGATAATACCATTGTCATTGAAGCAAGTCATGAAGAACGAGAGGATTCACACGGTTACATTTCAAGACGATTCACACGACGATACGATTTACCAGAGGATTTCAAAGCCAAAGATGTCATTTCTTCAATTTCATCCGATGGCATACTAACGATCAAATGCCCAAAATCCGAACCGGCTGTCGAAGGAAACGTCCGTCATGTTCAAATTCAACAAACCGGACCAGCACGATTAAACGTTGTCAACAAAGATGACAAGAAAATCACCAAAGATCAAAAGAAATAAGCATTCCCGTTCAGATTCATTAAAGTAGAAAAAATTACACCATTGTTTTTCAATTCCAATCTAAATTCTTTCAAAAACTGATAAGTTTTTATTTGTAGAAATTATGTTTATATGTAAGTCATGTTATAATAATTATTTCATTTTTGGATTCTGTCAAAATCAAGTCATACAATAAATAGCAGCTTTAATTTCACAAAAAGATAAATATAATTGTATTTTTATTGGAAATCTCTTTCTAAATATATCAAACTCATTTCATAGCTTAATTTTGTTTGTGTGAAGAAGTTGTTTGAAAAATGGTAAGCAAAATGGAGAGAAAGTAAATTGTCTTTGTTCTTGGATTTAGATTGTTTGGACGATGTTTGGATTTATATCAATTTTTATAGCTTTTGATGAATCTATATTATAGTTATAACTATAAATATCTCTATCACCATCTATCTATGATTCGAAAGGGCATCTTGATATTGGAAATAATTCAAATATTGTAATAAACGAAAAATTAAACTACATTGACAGATGCATGAGATAAAAGGCAAGTAGATATAACTCTATTTTTTTCTTTGTGCTGTTTTCAATAATAGATAAAACATCTCCCGCACACCAAAATATCATAAGTGTAGTCAGAAATATATGAATAGCACGGATGTTTTAAAGCTGTGTGCTATTTCAAAAGGTTTATACTGTAAGATATCGTATTAAGAGATATTTCGCATAAATTACGTTCTATATTGCTGCATATATTTTTCTGTGAAATTCTTTATTATGCTTTCGTTCAGGAATGTCAGTTTTTTGTTTATTTTCATCATGTTTTTCATTTATGAGACAATTTCATAATAAGCCGGCAAATAACAACGGACGACTGAGTCACAAATCAGCTGTTATATTCACGTATATTATGGAACTCACTCGAAACATCCACTATTTTCAACGAATTCTATCGAAGCGTTGCCGCACGCTATTGACTCAGCGGCGTTGAGTGTGTGAGCGTCAAGTACGTTCTAGTAAGTTCTATATGTGTTAGCTGTAAGCTCATGAAATAGTATAAATACGGTGCCGCATCGCATCGACCGTCAGTTCAATTCAAAGCATTACAAAGTTAAAAACTACAACAAGCACCATATAAACAGCAATCGTTAAACGTTAACATCAAGTTACAAGAAATATTCAAGTGATTGTTTGCGAATTTTTGTGAAATAAATAAAAAGTATAAAAGAAAGTAAAAATGTCACTTTTGCCATACATTTTGGACGAATTTTACCCATCCAGCTACCATCGTTTTGGATCGGGTTTTTTTCAACCAAGTGAATTGTGTATTTCACCATTCGAACGCTCGTTGATTCGATCTCTTAACAACACCGGCAATTATTTGAGATCGCAATTGTCGCATTTGGACGAACTCGAGAAACAATCGCACATTGGCAAGGACGGTTTTCAAGTTTGCCTCGATGTTCAACACTTCTTACCGAACGAGATCTCGGTGAAAACGGAAAACAATTCAATTGTGGTGCATGCCAAGCATGAAGAGAAGAAGGACAACCATGGTTACATTTCACGCGAATTCACTCGACGATACGATCTACCGAAGGGATTCAAAACCGAAGATGTAACATCAAGCCTATCATCCGATGGCATTCTCTCGCTTAAATGTCCACACACTCCGGCCGTCGAAGGATCAAACGTGCGCCAAGTTCAAATCCAACAAACTGGCCCCGCAAAACAATGCATCAAGAACAACGAGGAGAAAAAAGAAGAACCGAAAGTCTGAAAATCTATTAATTTTGATTATATTAAGATCTCTACCCTTTAATACAGTTTAAATTAATTTTTAAAGAAACATTGTCATTTTTAGTTTAAGAGAGTCAAATAAATTAAAGACATTCACTTTAAAAATTCAAACATATTTTATTTCAAATTTAAAAAGGAAAATAAAGGTCTAATTTGTTTCAAATTTTGGTTTTTTTCTCACAAACTATCAGTTTATCGATTTTTACAGAGATTCTATAAATTTATCATGAAAATTGCGGTGTATGCTTAAAAATACGGACGAGGAACGCATAGTCAATCAAAATGTCTATGGAAAGTATCTTTCTCAGTGATTATCTTTTGGTTTTGTTTATGATTATAATTAAGTTTCGAAAAAGTGAATAATGTCGAAAATAATTCGGAAGCTTGGACCTCCGTATGATGGATATTTTGATTCACGAAATGATAATCTGTTGCGAATGTCTTTTTTCCCATCAAAAACATACACGTGTAATTGGATTGCAATAGCAAACGTAGCGAGTGCATCATTCACTCATTGAAATGGAGAAGCTCAACTTGCATGTTTTCCATATGTTCTGATTCGATTCATTACGTTTCTAGAGAATAATTAAGAAATTCAGACCTTCACATTGACGAATGAAAATGATATCTTTTACTCTATTTTCTGTTAAGTGTAACAACTGCAGTTGTGTTCTTTCCGATTAAAAACATTTCAAGTGTAATTGGGTTGCAATTAAAGCTGCAGCGAGTGCATCATTTACGCCTTAAAAAAGCTCAACGCTCACTTTAACACGTGCTGCAATTCGCAAACGTGGAACTCATAATCAATCAAAGTAAAGTTTTTATGAAAATAATCTTTCTTTTGGTTTTGTTTTATTTCATTGTGTTTATGTTGCAGATATCTTCTTTCCCATCAAAACCATTACAATAAAAAAACTTAGTGAAATAAAGTTAAGGTTAACTTGCATTTTTTCCATATGTTCTGATGCGATTCATTACGTTTTCCTGGCCTCGTTTTGAAGCAAACCACAAACGAGAAATAATTGAGAAACTCAGGCCTTTATATTGGCGGATATTATGGTTCATGAAATGAAAATGGTATCTCTTACTCTGTTTTCTGTTACGTGTAATAACTGCAGTTGTGTTCTTTCCGATTAAAAACATTTCAAGTGTAATTTGGTTGCAATTAAAACTGCAGCGAGTGCATCATTTACGCCTTAAAAAAACTCAAAGCTCACTTCAACACGTGGTGCAATTCGCATACGTGGATAAATGGAAATCAATAATTTTGTTATAAGTATAAACTTAGAGATTATAAGCGCAAAACAAGAAGCATTTCGATTCAGTTCTATTGTGAGTGTCGTCCAATTCAAAACAAAAATGTTAAAACAACTCATTGAAAAATATAGAGGAGTGAAATCGGATTATTCGAATCGAAGTCCAAGGGGAAAAGTCAAGTTTATAAGATCTATTGCCAAGTTTCTAGGTACATTGGTTGGAATACTAATGTTCCATCGTAAATGTGAAATCTACTGGTATACGTTTATATCACTGGTAACTATTGTCGACATTGTGGCATCGTTCTTGTACACTGTCTGGTATTACTATGTTAGAGGAACACCGCTCGCTGGATTTTATGTAGTCCCCATTTTATTTGGCGTTACTATTCCGGTAAATCAATAGTTTACACGTCTACATTTTTCGTCCGAATATTATTAACTATGAAATTAACCCTTTCAGTCTGTAATTTGCTATTTTTGGGCGCTATATCCACCAACAACGGCCAAATTTAGAAGTATTATATTTTTCGTTGAAGATGAAATGTATCCGGATGAAGATGAAGATTTCAAATTGATGGAAGCTTGTAATAGTAGCGCAATTAGGTTACTCAAAGGAACGTCTAAAACCTTGGGGCTTCTAATGCTTTCGTTTGCTATGATGACAATTGCTCCAACTTATGAGTTTATATTCAAAAATAATATTCAACTTATAGTTCCGATTATTTTTCCATTTACTGATTTTGAAACGAAGACCGGAATGAATCTTAATATGGCAAATCAATTTTTCATAATGCTGTTTGGTTTAATTCCCAATCTTTTAATTGAAATTGGAACTTGCATGCTGAAAAATTATGTCTGGACATTTACAGTAGTGATCGGCCATTCAATTGATAAGATTTCACAATCCCTCGAACACCCCCAAGGAGACGAGAAGACAAAGATTGATTTGCTATATCGTAACATATTAATTCAGATACAAGATTATGATCGGTATGTTGCTTCTTTCTCAATTCTCATCTCATTCAAATCTAGTCATTGTCATTATGAATTCAATTTTTTAGCTTTATCCTGGAAATGTCTGACGTATATTATTGGAAATTTTTCCTCCAGCCATTTTTTTTGACATTTTCTGTATCACTTGCAGTTTTCTTATATTTATATGTGAGTGCCTCTAATATTTAAATGTTTTTTTTTATATTTCACATGGTTTTTTGTGTTTTATTTTGTGGACATATAAATTGATTTATTTCTTTTGTTGTAGGGTGATTACTTTAGTGGTCTGGGCCTTGCATTTTTCACTTATATTCAGTTATATATTTTATGTGATATTGGAAATGACGTTGACTTATCGGTAAGACATTTTATGAAAGTCGATTTCACATTGATCTGGTTTTAAAATAGTCACCAATTTCATCTAGAATAAAATGTTGATTGACAAACTTCAACAAATGCCATGGTATTTGATGTCACCACAGAAACAAAGGAGCTATGCTCATGTGCTCAACCGCTTGCAGAATGGTACGATTCTTCAAATGGGACCGTTTGGAGTGCTCAATTTTGAAACCTTTTCTGATGTAAGTTATCTTTCTTTGATGTAATGTAGTATTTATTCATATTTAAACTATGGTTTTAGTTGTCCAACAGAATTTACAGTTTTGTGATGATGTTGACTAGATTTGTGAAGTGAACAGCGGTTGATTTGAAATATGAAAATTTAAGAAACGACGGAACGCAAAAACGCGCAACCGCTTGAAATGACCATACATGGTGATTTTATAATATTCATGTACAATTTTCTAGATTATTTTTGCACTCGTCTCTGTTTAAAAAAAATACTAGAGACGATTTTAACTGTACCACTTGCTTTGAAATTTAGCACTTATTTTACAACAATGAACTTATTATTGTAAACGTATTATGTACACTGGCTATGTACAATTCACTAACTAAAAAGTGTATAATTTTGAAATATACAGCAAATATTCTCAATAGATCATTCTTAATTCCTGAAAGTAGACTAGAGTAAAGGTGGTACTTACTGCATATTTAATTATAACCCAATTACACTTGCAACCTTTTGAATAGCAAAGAACGCCACGGTGATAAACTGACCGCTAACAGCTACTGACTGATAAAATCCAGTAATACGACGGTCTTCTGAATTATTTTCTCGGTTATTATATATTTCTTTTCCGCCCAAATTGGTCCACTCCATCACGAGGACTGCGCCAAAGAATGAGAACATGCATGCAACGCCCTCACTGAAATACGTTTGATTTGCTTTGGGGATGCCAAAATTTGTTAATTTTTTGGTCAAATTTGGATTCCTCGACCCAAAATTAGGGGGTTAGGTATCTTTGATGATGGCTATCATGGTCTTCCATGATTCAACACGGTTATTTAACCAATTTTCAGCCTATTTTTGATCTTTTGACCAATAAACATGATAATTTTGGTCGACCTCAATAACCGTGTTAAATGATGTTGGATAATGGTCTAACACCATTTTACACGGTTATTGATGTCGTATAAAAAAACGGTAATATGATGGTTATTATCCGTTCCTAAATCTACGACAACGCCGTCTCTCGTTCCCCATCTGTTGCGAGTTTTTTAAATTAAATAGTTTGATATACATTCAAAAAGGGTTCAAGACTAATCCCGACTATTTGAAAAATCCCCAGGTAAAATATTGAAACAAAACTTGAAACAATTTTTTTGAATTCATTTTTTTAATTGTCGTCGATTTCATGGAGTAAAACATATAGAAATAATATATACAGACTATCATCACACTTTATAATAGAGGAACAAAACATACTGTGTATGAAAATACTAATACATGTGCGCATACTCGGCTTCGTTTCTGTGATGACCACTTTAAGCGTACATGTGATTCTTGTGTATGTATTTTTCTTACTGTGTACTGTCAATTTCGCACCTTCAAATCGGTGGCAATTGATAATAAAATGAATTTTGTTTCAACAAACGGTTTTAAATATGGTTTGAATAATTTAAATGAGGATCTAAAAAAATGTGGGATTAAAATCAAATTCTTTTATTTTATTTTAAATTAAAGTGAAAATTTTGTCACAGAAATAGCTACAGTTTTCGGTTTAGTCGTATATCACGGTCTATCATGATCTAACATAATTTAACACGGTTAAAGTGTAAGACTTTTTATTGTTATTTAGTTCGATATAAAATTACCTCATGTTACCCCATTGAAATGTAATTATTTTAATCGTCTGGGATTATTATATTCCTTCTTCGTTTTGAATCATTTGAATCATTGATGATTAGAACGAAGTCATCACATTCCTTGTGGTTTTTACTTTCCACACACACACACACAGAGAGAGAGACCCACACCGTGTGTGTAATAGAGTGGTTCGATTTTGACATTTTTTCAAGAATCAAAAATCGTACCCCTATAACCTCTGTAGGAAGGTCATAGAAACATGACTATAACAACGAGTTCGAAAAATAAAAAAATGATTTTTGGTGATGCGCGGTTCCAGGTGGTTTTTTAAAAAAATCAAATTTTGATGAATTTTGAGCACTTTAAAAATTCAATAAAAAATGGTCCACCGAGGGTTTTTTGGCACGAGAAAGCCGAATCTGGCGTTAATTTTGCAATACAAATAATTTTCGACACTTTTTTCATGAAAAAATCACAAAACATTTGGAATTTTGTATTGAAGTTTGATGTTATTGCCTGTTTGATGTTGTAATGACATGAAACTTTGCACAGAACCTTTTTTCTGCAAAAAATAGAAATTAAGTGTATCTCCCATACAACATTCTTATTTTCGAAAATTTTGTATGGGAAAAAGAAGAACCAAAAGCATAAACATCTATGAATTCTGATAATATTAAGATCTCTACTCTATAATGAAATTTAAATTAATTTTCAACGAAACATTGTCATTTTAATTTTAAGAAAGTCAAATAAATTAAAGATAGTCAGTTTAAAAATTAAAACGTATTTCATTTCAAATTTAATTTTAAAAAGGCAGATGTGTATCAAACTAAAAGGCTGGAGAAAAAATAATTTCTTGTTTATTTCTTAGAAAATAGGATATGTCTTATTTATTATTTGCCAGTGCAAATATTATGACGATACATTTCATATTCCAAAATGTTGAACTTCTTGGTTTAAATAATTTCTGTTTACTTTGCCAAAACACATTTTTTCCTCAATCATATTATTCCAGATGCCAAAACAACACATCTTATTCAATTATGTACATGTAAAATATTAAGATTTTGCACTGATAAATTGGCTATACCTGATCCATTACAAAACAAATAATCCATTTTTCAATTCAACTACCTACGTCAATTGGAATCACTAAAGACAACAAAACCGTGTTTGCGTTAGATACACGTGTATAATACATTGTATACTTTTATGGCGCAGATTTGTAATTTTATAATAGTTTTTAATCGCTGTTTGGAGTTTTTGAGAAAAAAATGTACAAAAATCACTTTTATTGTGTAAAAATGAAATAACTGTATCTATTCATTTTACAATTTTTACTTTATTTTTTATATTTTTGTTTACTTAAAGGTTTTCAATATCAATCATGTGGACCAAAACGCAACTAATTTTTTTGTTGACTTAAAATTTGACAAAACATTATTTAAAATACAGGATATGCGTTATCAAGCCCAATTTTACAAAGATTGTTGCCGTTGGCCAATATCCGCATGTACCCTCCCTCTCCCCAATTCTGTCCTTTGGAGTTTTTAAATATAAAGTATTTTTTATGAGTTCCTTTCCATTATATTCCGTATCCAACGATGAGAACAGCATGATCCGTTTCATAGTTATTGCACTCCGTATTTGAATAAATACCATTTTTGTAAAGTTTAAATGACTTCGGTTGAGATGATATGGCAACTGCCAATGGTCCTCGAGTAGCTATAAATTTCCTAATATCTTTTTCCTGTCCTAATGTCACTTGTCGAAAGTCCTTGATTTTTAGAGCTGATTTGTTTTTCTTGAATTTACAGTCGCCGCCTTTCGGTTTATATGGATAATCTGATTCTTTCATGATGCCATTCTGTTGAACGTATTGAAGCGGATAATAAAAATTATTTGGACGACATTTGTTGGTTTTCGTTCCGCCCGCTACGCAATCGACAAGATTTTGTTCAGAAAGCGATATCAATTTGCCCATTTTAATGGCATAATGTGATTCAATGACACCCGCCGTCGCAAAAGCCCAACAAACAGTACAACCTTTTTGATCTTTAACCACAGTTACTTTTTTTTTTGTCCTCCAATCAAATGAATCGGGAATTTTATCATGGGCAGCTCGGCGAGATCTTCGATTTGCTTCTCTACAAAACATAATTCATCATTTTAAATCTCTTTAGAATCTTCACTATTATACTTACTCTCCGGGTAGAATTTTGGAAGGATTTAATGGAATTGGATTGCTCAGTGCCCAATATTCCTCATCAGTAAGATCGGCAAAATCGTTCATACCTAAGTCGTACGAAACATTTCCCATCTCGTAGAGTTTATTGTGTTCCTCGATATACTTTTTATTTTCCAAAAAAATGCCAAATCTGCGAATCTCTTCAGTTTCATTATCGTATTGCTTTCCAAACTCCGACTATAACCAATTGAAAGATAACAAATAAAAAACAAAATAAAATATGCCTTAAAATGCCTTATCCAATGTTGAATTTTACCTTATATTCAATCCATGCATCATTATGTAATGAGTTCTAAAGCAGAAAATAAAATACAACATTTATTATTACAAGCTGCAATGACTTAACTCGAACACAATATTTGGCTTCAAAATATCCAACCTCTTCTAAAACGGCGTTTGAAACTGCAAGTAGTCCAAATATTACGAAGATATTTTTCATTTCCAACGATATTTCAACTATTTTCTAAACCTTTCAGTAAATAATTTTGAAGAAAAACTTAATTTGGACTGACTCTTTCCAGTTACAGAGATATTCTGAAAATGATTTTACTCGTCTTCTTATCACTAGATAAATTCTTGATCAAAAACTACTTCAATATGTATGAAAACTGTTCAAATTACGCAAAAGTGATAACAATGGGATCTGTTGCTAAAAATACTTCTCTGTTTAGATAAATTTGCTGAATTTGTCAAAACACCTTTTTATCCAAATCGTATTTTTGAGTTGATCAAAATATTTTATCACACATCTTGTTCAAATATTTATGGATAAAAAAATGTAGACTATAAAAGGCACTCATTGAATACCAATGTTATTAATTTTTGGCTAAAACTAATAAGTCTGTTTAAAAGAATTAACTGCGTTTAAATTTACATCTAATGAAATGTGTAGAAATATCAGATAGATAAATGTGTCTATGACGGAATACCTTCAAAGTGCCCAATATTATCAAGTGAAGTGGCTTTTTCAACCACAAGCACTATGAAAATAAGAAGTATTCTCTTCATTTTTAACTCTAAATTGAATTAGAAAATGAATAAGAATTAAAATTGTTTCTTAACTTTTTTGGAAATATTTCACGACTATGATATTATAGAATTAAGAGAAGTTTATTACCTCTTTTGCAGAACTACCAATTGAACACTGGATAAATGCTGCATCGAATACATGGCTTTTAAATGATTTTCTTACTGTACACGCCACGTTTTTTCGACCAGAATACCATTGAAACTTTGATACAGATTTTGTTCTGTAAAAATATTTATTTTTAATTATCGAGAGAAAGTACGTCAACTAAAATAAAATGTTTACTTCAAATAGGATATTGTATTTGATCACACATTAAATCGATTACTTTTCTTAAGAAAAAGCAATTGAAGTCTAATATTTGTATTCGAATGCCGTTCTAACACGCAGTTGTCGAATTCATAGGACGATTTCGGATGTGAACACAGATGCTTTTGCATGGAAATTGAATGATTTTATTTATTTATTTCTGTTGCACGTCTTTTCCGGGTATGTCGTAAGAATAGTTAACAAAAAATGTCTTGAAAGTGATTTAATAATTAAGGTTACGTCATTCTTTTCAAATTTCTGGGGGTCAGAATTCAATTTCTATTCAAAAAAAAAAAAATGCTGTTGTGATTATTATGAAGTTCAATTTCATTTCAAGTGAGCAACTAGAGAGAAATAAGGCGACTGTTCGTTTCCGACAGTAAATAAGTCCGAAAAATCAATATTTGCCGTTGACAATTTTATGTTGTTAACCTAAACTACATTCCATATTCAATTAAAATTAAAAACGTCAAATTTAATGCTGATATTTCAAGGATATCAATTTCGAAGTGAACAACTTTTGCACATCAAATAAATTATTTTATTCGAAAAACAGTTTATTTTTTTATTCTTCTAAATGTCTTAGTTGCATCAAATGTATATTATAAGGTAAGCCTTTGCCAAATATGTTTTTACCAGTCTAGCCATTTGTCGTAGAGGTATAATATTTGAATACGATGAATTAACATTCATTCAGAAAGAAAGGTTATCTAAAACCTTTTTCAAGAAATAAAATTGTCTATGTGTACATTCTGATTACGTCTTTTATTTGTTACATTCTGATTACATTATAATTGTGCAATTGCACCACTTTAAATTTGAATAAGGCCAATCTAACGGTTATCCACACAAAATTTAAAAAAAAACTTTATTTCAAAAAAGGACATATAAAGATGAAATTCTGAGTAAAAAAACTGAAGTTAAAGGACCAAGCCTGTTTTATCATTGCAACTTGAAAGAAAATAAATAGATTCGTTTGACTGCTTCAAACAATTGGCCGTAAAACAATCAGAATCCATGCATTTCTATAGGCGTCATATAAACATGTCTTTCATTTCAAATTTTTATGGTTTTATATGTTGTTTTTCACTGCAATAGGAATGTTATCTATTATTTAGATTACATTTTTTTTATCAAATTAACGTAATTTCTGCAGTTCAAAAATCATATATAAGCTCAGGCAAATCAATCCAAGATTAATCCAGTCTTCAGCTACCGACTGTACAATCTTATCAACTTTGCAGGTGCAAAGATACGTTAATTATTTTCATTAATTTTCAAAGTGAAAGTCTTTTTTGTTTGCATTTTTTTGCGTATTACTGAAGAGTTTGTGAAAATTTAGTTCATTTCTTTAAACATATATTTCTAAACTTGCAATTCTTTTCAATTGTTGATTGTATTTTTCGAACAATATGAAGAAAGTATTTATTATTTTGGGACTGATTGCAATTGCAAACGCTTCGCTTCCATTAAGCAAATTAATAGAAACTATTGGAACGAAGTTAAAGTTGGTAAGTCTAGATACTTTTGAGTATATACGTCAATTGAGGTGAAAAATTGAGATAGACTTAATCAATCAATAGATAAAACAAATCTCCGATTACTATTTTCATATTTTATTTTCTATTTTAGGACTCGCAGTGGCAAAATTTCAAGGTAAATGTGAATATTAAACATCGTATGAATGCCAGAGATTGAATGTGACACTTGGCAAGCTTGTTAAATTGCAACATTTTCGAATATGTCCAACAAGTAACATTCAATTTGGGACATTCATATATATGTTTTGGAAAATTTCCATTTAAATTTCTGTTAACTTCAAAATCTTCACAGAACAAGTATAACAGAATATATAAAAACGAAATTGAGGAGGGGTGCCGGCACAAACTATATCTGGAAAATTGGAAGCTAATTGATGACCATAATAAAAACTATTTTGAAACGGGACAATCAACATTCTACCTTAGCGAAGATGAGTACTCGGATTTAAGTGAACAAGAAAGAGCAGCTTTTCGTTTAAGTGATTTTGGGAAGGCTCTTGTTTTGAAAATAAATTCGACCGTGATATCTATTATAGATGCACTTAAAGGGTAACTATATTAATACATATCGAATCGTATACAAACCATGTGAAATCAATGAATTTACAGAGAATCAAAACATAGAGCGCGAAGAGCAGCCCTCTCTACTTACGGTACACCTCCGGGCAGCTTTGATTGGAGAAATAAAGGCGCCGTAACTGCTGTGAAGAACCAAGGTCAATGTGGCGCGTGCTGGGCATTTGCAAGTAATTTTGGGTTTTGTGAAAGAAAAAACGTAAAATCTATCTAATTGAGTTGATTTATATTTCATGATAGCTGCTGCCACGCTTGAAACATCGAATTACCTGCGTACCGGAAAGTTGGAGTCACTTTCTGCAGGAAATCTGGTCGATTGCGAACATAAAGGAAAATGCACAGGAAATTCACTTAAACCACCACTTACCTACATTCAAAGCAATGGCATCATGTATGAAAAAGATTATCCTTATAATGGTAAAGGCGGAGAATGCAAATTTGATAAAACCAAAAAATCCGATACACAAATTAATGGCGTTTGGGAAATGCCAAATGGCCAAATGATGAATGAGACAAATTTTAAATCATATATAGCAAATGTAGGATCAATGTCTATTGCCATTGCAGTTAATAGCAAATTCCAAATGTACGGAGGAGGTATATTCGATGACAGATCATGTAACAACGGTGCATTAAATCATGCACTTGTAGTCATTGGCTATGGAACTGAAAACGGTCAAGATTTTTGGATATTAAAAAATTCATGGGGGACCGGTTGGGGAGAAAGAGGTTATATGCGGATTCGTCGTGGCGTAAATCTTTGCCACATGTGCAATTATGCTGCTTATGCATATTAAAAAAAAAAGATGAATTGAAAATTCTATTGAATTTATTATACATATAAGTTATTTGGTGTTTGGGAAATCTTAAAATTGTAAATATCAAGTATAACATTAGCAATAGCATTTTAAGATAAAGTAAACTTTACAACCTCTTGATCATCTGTACGCAATAATCTACATTCCGCGCAGATCAATCTTAGTAAAATAATATAAGTAATAAGTAAAGCTAAATTCAATTTAGTTCATTCAAATATTTTGGGTTTAAAATAAAGTTTTTCAAATTGATTTGACTTTCTTATAATTTAAATGACAATATTTCTTTCATTTCCCAACTCAACTGTAAAGTAGAGACCTCGTATTTTGTGTCTTTCCAATCACATTTGTCATCTATTTTGTTACCAAAGTCATTTATTCGAAAGTGACATCTTTCCTATTTAATACTCATTAAATTGAATATTATTCAAATATAAATTGTAGCGCCGAAAAATGTGAATTAATTGGAAATTCTATGTGACAATTTTTTTCTAATATTCTAGCTTTCTAATAATTTTTTTTTTTTTTTTCAAATATTTTTTGATCATGAATATAGACAAACAATTGCTATAACTTCAAACATATTAAAACAAATACAAGAGAGTTCAATCTCAACATGGCATAAGTTGCAATGCATTTTCGGTTAAACAAACCTTATTGCTCGAATGATTAAAGTTTAAAAAAAAATCAAGTGTTTTTGGTTTTAAGAAAAATGTGATTTATTTGACTTTCTTAAAATTAAAATGACAATGTTTCTTTAAAAATTAATTTAAATTTCATTATATAGTAGAGATCTTAATATAATCAGAATTCATAGATGTGCTTTTGGTTCTTCTTCTTCCTCCTCGTTCTTCTTGATGCATTGTTTTGCGGGTCCCGTTTGTTGAATTTGAACTTGGCGCACGTTTGATCCTTCGACGGCCGGAGTGTGTGGACATTGAAGTGAGAGAATGCCATCGGATGATAGGCTTGATGTTACATCTTCGGTTTTGAATCCCTTCGGTAGATCGTATCGTCGAGTGAATTCGCGTGAAATGTAACCATGGTTGTCCTTCTTCTCTTCATGCTTGGCATGAACCACAATTGAATTGTTTTCCGTTTTCACCGAGATCTCGTTCGGTAAGAAGTGTTGAACATCGAGGCAAACTTGAAAACCGTCCTTGCCAATGTGCGATTGTTTCTCGAGTTCGTCCAAATGCGACAATTGCGATCTCAAATAATTGCCGGTGTTGTTAAGAGAACGAATCAACGAGCGTTCGAATGGTGAAATACACAATTCACTTGGTTGAAAAAAACCCGATCCAAAACGATGGTAGCTGGATGGGTAAAATTCGTCCAAAATGTATGGCAAAAGTGACATTTTTACTTTCTTTTATACTTTTTATTTATTTCACAAAAATTCGCAAACAATCACTTGAAAATTTCTTGTAACTTGATGTTAACGTTTAACGATTGTTGTTTATATGGTGCTTGTTGTAGTTTTTAACTTTGTAATGCTTTGAATTGAACTGACGATCGGTGCGATGCGGCACCGTATTTATACTATTTCATGTGTTTACAGCTAACACATATAGAACTTACTAGAACGTACTTGACGCTCATACACTCAACGCCGCTGAGTCAATAGCATGCGGCAACGCTTCGATAGAATAAGTTAAAAATAGTGGATGTTTCGAGCGAGTTCTATGATATACGTGAATACAACAGCTGATGTGTACGTTTGTTTATCATTCTCTGTATGAAATTTCCCGACCTCTCTTAATTTTTCGGCGTCTGAACACGCACAACATTTCTTCTGGAAATAGCGACGCATGATATGGTTTCTATAGAACAATATATTGTTTGAATTGAAAAATTCACAACAAATTCGTGTAATGCGCCAAATGTGAAATATTCCCATAAAATGGCAGACATTGTTTGTAAAACGTACTTTAATAACAAATCTTAAAATTTATACTGTATCTATAGATATCATAAAATGTATAATATACCTTGTTTGTTCTGAAAGAAGTCAATAGACTCTGAGTCAAAATGTCTTATTATAAAATCGGTCTTGTAATAGCAATTGACGTGCAATTGCTGGAATATTTTTTGAAAAGGGTGTTTTTTCACTGCTTTTACTACAACAGTGTGAGTCTTTATTTAAAAAAAAAAGTACAAAGTCTTTGTGTTTAGTTTCCCTCATGACATTCCAATACATTTTTATAGTATTCGTTGATATACGCAGATTTTGGACATATCTGGACTATAATGCTGACTACGTTATGATAAATTCGACTCTATTGTGGAATATACTGCGTTGTTTATTTGATATTCATTGTCAAGGACATTTGACGGTGAGAGTAGATATTCATTGTTTGTTCAGTTTATTTATTGTATCAGATACGTAAATGCGAATAAAGAACTTTCTCGTCCAATCGATGCGTTTTGAAATATATTCTATATACAGACAACATATATAACGCAATCGAAGTTACGCGAAACAACCGTCTTACTGTTTCATTCAGCTGTAATGAAACATTGCCGAATTGAAGATAATTAAATGTGTACCATTGATGTCGTCTACTACGTTTTGTTTACATTATGTCAAAATACCGAATATGTGATGATGTTTTATTGTTGTTGTGACGTCTTTTATTCAGCTGGTGTTATTTTGTTTTGAATCAAAGCAAAATGCTCATAAATTTCTAGACTTTTTTTAATTGTATATTCGCCGGCTCAAACAAGCTCAAATTAACCAAGTCGTGTGAGACAAAATTGTCAATATTTGAAGTCATGCATTAACGTTATCATTGCGTGTTTTTTAGCAAACCTTTGTAAATGAGGCAGCAAATTTTGCCAATGAATTTTGAAATGGGTTTTTGTACATTTTGGGTCATTCTTTCATACCAAAATTCATCTCATTCGATCCATATATCGTTTGTTCAAACAATCATCAAATATAAATACAAACACACTATTGATATGCCTATTGACTACCGTAACAAATGTTCAATTGGCTCTTATAGTTGTTCTGACGACAAAAGCTGACCACAATTTCCTGTTACCGTTAAACAAACAAACGTTGCCAAATGTTGTGATACATCAACAAGTACGAGCGTTTGTGATTCTATAAAAACCAATTATAAGGTATATGTCTAAATTTAGGTGCAGCCATTTGGCAATCGGCTCATCAGTTTCACAGTTTAATTTGATCTGCTGAGCATGAGCTAAACACTGTATAAATAGGAAAAATGTGTATCATATTTACAACGAATGTAATCGCATCAAGGTCGGATTAGGAGCTCATTGAAGCATAACCGTCGTGCTTGCTGTAGACGGAAAGAAACTATAGAGAGAGACAGAGAGAGAGAGAGAGAGAGAGAGAGAGAGAAAATACATTCAACAGAAAGAAAAGAAACAACCAATAGAAAATTGTCGTTTAGATTGCAATTATTTTATTTTGAATCGATTAATAAAACTCGTTTTAAAACAAAAGAAGAGAATAAAGAAATACATTTAATTAGAATCATTTATGTCTCAACGCGTAGGCGACTTTTGAAATCTTGATTAGTTAGAACACAATTTGATTTTTTTTTTTCGTATTTTGTGACAGAAAAAAAATAATTAACAACAACAAAAAATGCTCTGTTATAGTAGAAAAAAAAGAAGAAATAATTATCTCTTGCATTTGAGAGTATATGTATTAGCAAAAATGTTAATAAAGTTTTTATTTTGTGCATATTTCCTAACTCGAGACGACGATGCTCACACAAACACACAAACTCGACGCACGCATCACCAAGCAGCCAGCTGTTTCCGGCCCGATTTGGTGTGTTTAATTTTCCAAATATGATGGACGGAAAGTTTGATAGGTTGGAATATTTCGGACGTAGGCCAATGATGGTGGTGGAACGGTTGGATAAGCCTTAACAGTGAGAATGCCGTCCGTTGACAATGACGATGTAACATCACGAATTCGGAAGTCATTTGATAAATCGTATGTTCGTTCGAATTGACGTTCAATATATCCATTGACTTTTGGGCGTTTGTCATGTTTGCCAGTGATCTTTATCGAATTTCCCACCACTTTCACTTGGATTTCGTACGATTTGAAGTGACGCACATCAAGTTGTACTTGGAACAAATCTTTAGTCACTTTAACATCGCGTTCAACGCAATTTAAATCACCATAGTACGAATCAACCCAAGGACGTAAGTATCCACCTGGTGTGCACAACGAACGATAAGCAGACCACGATTGTGGAGTTGGCCAAAACCACTCACTTACAAGTAAATCATCGTTCCATCGACGTTTTGCTTCCAACCAATCCTTGTATTCGGCAATTCTTCTTTCGTATGGGACCAAAGCCATTTTTTTTATTTTTGTTTTCTTATTTTACTTGAAATCACACACAAAAAAACTAACGTTGCTCTATCTTCAACTTGTCGATAGCGCGCTGCTTTCAATGCCTCTATTGTTTGTCTCGAAATAGAGAAATATAAACACTCGAGAATTGATCTCACGACAAAAAAAAAGAGCGTTCGCAATTTTTGAAATCGAATTGAGGACTAAACGATTGCCAACTATAGTCACCATATTTATACATCGGCATACCGTTGAATACAAAAGGCTTTTACAAAATTTCACCTTGAATTCAGCAAATACCAATTTATTCCGCCGAGCAAATAGAACATACGAATATAAATTATTCCCATGCCCACTGAATCTATTGAATTTTGAACACATACTCACACCCGCTCAAAGCATCAAACACACTCACATGCACCGTAGTACACACGGTTGTTCACTGTTTTAAAATGTGATTCAATCGACATTGTATTTGTTATTGTCTATATGTTCGATCAGTTATATGACCATCAAATTGAAAAGAGCATATCATGTCTTTCTTATGCAATTCAAACACTTTGAAAACGTGTCACTTCCTTGATGAATTTGTCTACGCGCACATTCGTTGCATTTCATCGAAATGATTCATTGAGAAAATAACTCAAACGTAGTGAACAACCATTGGATTCGAATTGTTGTTGGCGCGGGCGGATCATTTATTAAACGTAGGTGAACGAATTACAACGGCAAACAGACTAAGTGGCCATAAAATAAAATCAATTCTTCATGCATTTATATGCACATTCTAAATGTATTTATGCAAAGAAATAAATTCATTTTGATTTAATCAATGAGACGATATAATTACATACTACTCTTGCATGTTACACATTTCAATTGCGCGCCATATTCAAGTGCAAGTTCACACATTCGATTGTCGCTTGCATTGTGATACAGTTTTTGTCCTTAAATGATTCGATCTCGTAGGATATTATATCAATATTAAATTATTAGTTCTGAGAAATACCATTTTCGGACATTTTGCTTCAGGAAAACTATAATTCCAATTGAATTTAATTACTGAATTGATTGACAATTCAAATTCACAAATTACTTTGATGTCTTAATACCGTGAAGGGCATTTTATAGTTTATTTCAATTTTCATCATCCACTTTGTAACATGTTTAGTTCGACAAAGCGATGTTTCTAATTTCGGAAAGAAATAACGATTTTTAGACAAAAAAAAAAATAACGGTACGACGACAATATATTTGATTGATATTTAAAAATAGAGTGGGTTTCTTCCGTCATATTAATTTATTGACGCAATAGATTTGGTCGAATCAGCATTTACCGGTGAGAATAACTGAACGTCGGAATGACCCAATTATTATTTTATTCTGGATGATGCATCATGCATTCAAATCGGACACACCTTGCATAGACCTTTCTATGTTAATTTCAATTCAAAACAAACGACCAATTTAAATTTTGAAATAACTAAATGACCGACGAACAATTCAAACGAAAGCGAAATACAAATAAGCTATATTGCGCTCACGCTAATTACCTTATAAAGTATTGCTTTTTTATTATCATTATCCCAGTTTGATTCTATACCTTTTTGCATTCGTTGCTAGCTTGTCTCTCTTTTGTTCAAAGAACTTACCTTACTACAGTAGACAATGACTACTAGACATGTCGAATAAGCCTGAAAAAAAAATTCTTACACTATGAAAAAAAAAAACACATCGATTTTTTGTTCAATGGATTGTGTTTGGATTTTATTGAGACCAGGAATATTACAAATTTAATGGATTTGTTTTTTTTTTTTATTTCTGGTTTTTCAGTCGGAATTTGTGCATATTTTTTTTCGTTAAAAAAATGTCAACAGATTATTTGGAAAATTTACTTATTATTTGGAATTTCATCTTTTTTCTCCTCATTGCTCTTGATGCATTGTTTTGCGGGGCCAGTTTGTTGGATTTGAACTTGGCGCACGTTTGATCCTTCGACGGCCGGAGTCTGTGGACATTTAAGCGAGAGAACGCCATCGGATGATAGGCTTGATGTTACATCTTCGGGTTTGAATCCATTCGGTAGATCGTATCGTCGAGTGAATTCGCGTGAAATGTAACCATGGTCGTCCTGCTTCTCTTCATGCTTGGCATGCACCACAATTGAATTGTTTTCCGTTTTCACCGATATTTCGTTCGGCAAGAAGTGTTGAACATCGAGGCAAACTTGAAAACCGTCCTTGCCAATGTGCATTTGTTTCTCGAGTTCGTCAAAATGCGACAATTGCGATCTCAAATAATTGCCGGTGTTGTTAAGAGAACGAATCAACGAGCGTTCGAATGGTGAAAGACGCAATTCACTTGGTTGAAAAAAACCCGATCCAAAACGATGGTAGCTGGATGGGTAAAAATCGTCCAAAATGTATGGCAAAAGTGACATTTTTACTTTTCTCACTCAAAAAAATAATTCACAAAATGTTTCACTGTTTTTATATCAAACTGTTTTTCAAACTACTTTGGTTATTATTCGTCTTGTTAAATTGCGTTGTTAGCGTTTCTTAAACACTGAGTTCTTCTTTATTTTGATTTTAACTTTGCTGTGCTTTGTATGCAACTGATGTCGATGATGCGGTACCGCACCGTATTTATAGTAAATCGTGTTCTACGGTTGAATCCCTCGAACTTTCTCCCAAAATTCAATTGCGTATACTCTATTCCATACGAATCATCCCGAAAATTCTACACATCAAACAAATTGCGTTTGATTCTATCATTACATTGTTTGTGAGTATTGTATACTGTTTTTCATTGTGAATTCACTAGAACGTACGTGAAACAGCTACATTGGCTGCGTCATGCACGTAGGACTATCGAGAACCGTAAACATATATCGAGAAGCATGTATCACCGTATCGCCGGTTGGGTATAAAAAGAGTCGCATGGCGATACGGTAAACAGTTAATTTGAAATACGCACATAGTTCAAAGAGTTCTAAAGTGAAGTGAAAAAAAAAACAAGAAAAAGATGGCTATGCAATTAAAAACCATTGCAACCAAATTGTTTAATCCGACATTGAATGTGGTTCGTCATCGTTCCCGCGGATCAATTTTACCGTCATTTTGGGAAGACCCATTCAGACATCACAGAAGTTTGATAAGAGATTTTTGGAATTCGGATCCATTTGATAGTATTTTTCCGAGTCGTTTCACGGGTTACCGATTGCCATACTGGGAAGGTGATAGGTATTTAAACACACCTGAAGACGGATTTGAAGTGAATTTGAACGTTCAAAATTTCAAACCAGAAGAAGTTTCTGTGAAAGTGGCTGACAACAACATCATAATCGAAGCGAAACACGAAGAACGCAATGAAGATGAAAGTTTTGTGTCGCGACATCTCAGCAGACGTTACAAATTGCCTGACGATTGCAACATCAAAGAGATAGTTTCCACTTTATCGGCTGATGGAATTTTAACTGTTCGCGCTCCACCAAAAGAAATTGATACCAAAAGTGCACGCACAATTCATATCCAACATACCGGCACATCTCATGTGGAAGCCGGACCAAAGAAAACCGATGAAAATAAGGACGATGAAAATAAAGACGAACAAAAAAGTAGAGAGTAGGCATTTTGATTTATTGTATTAAGGAGCAAATAAAAATATTCATTATATAAACATAAGATGAATCGGTGTTTTATTTTTACTTGGCTTGAAATTAAAAAAAAATCAGGAAAACTATAATTCCAATTGAATTTAATTACTGAATTGATTGACAATTCAAATTCACAAATTACTTTGATGTCTTAATACCGTGAAGGGCATTTTATAGCTTATTTCAATTTTCATCATCCACTTTGTTACGTGTTTAGTTCGACAAAGCGATGTTTCTAATTTCGGAGAGAATGCATCATGCATTCAAATCGGACACACCTTGCATAGACCTTTCTATGTTCATTTCAATTCAAAACAAACTACCAATTTAAATTTTGAAATAACTAAATGACCGACGAACAATTCAAACGAAAGCGAAATACAAATAAGCTATATTGCACTCACGCTAATTACCTTATAAAGTATTGCTTTTTTATACCTTTTTGCATTCGTTGCCAGCTTGTCTCTCTTTTGTTCAAAGAACTTACCTTACTACAGTAGACAATGACTACTACTCTCAGAAAATGTCGATGTTAAAATTCAAAGTAATCAGAGCAAAATGCCATTTTAACATGAGGGTATTTTACCATGTGAAAAAATACCCTCATGTTAAATGGCATTTTGCTCTGTTTACTTTGAATTTTAACATCGGAGTTTTCTGAGAGTAGACATGTTGAATAAACAAAGACCTGAAAAAAAATTCTTACACTATGAAAAAAAAAACACATCGTTTTTTTGTTTAATGGATTTTATTGTGTTTGGATTTTATTGAGATCGGGAATGTTACAAATTTAATGGATTTTATTTATTTTTATTTTTTGGATTTCTGCATATTTTTTTGTCGTTAAAAAAATGTCAACAGATTATTTGGAAAATTTACTTTTTATTTGGGATTTCATCTTTTTTCTCATCATTGCTCTTGATGCATTTTTTTGCGGGGCCAGTTTGTTGGATTTGAACTTGGCGCACGTTTGATCCTTCGACAGCCGGAGATTGTGGACATTTTAGCGAGAGAACGCCATCGGATGAAAGGCTTGATGTTACATCTTCGGGTTTGAATCCATTCGGTAGATCGTATCGTCGAGTGAATTCGCGTGAAATGTAACCATGGTCGTCCTTCTTCTCTTCATGCTTGGCATGCACCACAATTGAATTATTTTCCGTTTTCACCGAGATCTCGTTCGGTAAGAAGTGTTGAACATCGAGGCAAACTTGAAAACCGTCCTTGCCAATGTGCAATTGTTTCTCGAGTTCGTCAAAATGCGACAATTGCGATCTCAAATAATTGTCGGTGTTGTTGAGAGAACGAATCAATGAGCGTTCGAATGGTGAAATACGCAATTCAGTTGGTTGAAAAAAACCCGATCCAAAACGATGGTAGCTGGATGGGTAAAAATCGTCCAAAATGTATGGCAAAAGTGACATTTTTACTTTTCTCACTCAAAAAAATAATTCACAAAATGTTTCACTGTTTTTAAATGAAACTGTTTTTGAAACTACTTTTATTATTATTCGTCTTGGTTTTGAAACTATTTTGGTTATTATTCGTCTTGTTAAATTGCGTTGTTAGCGTTTCTTAAACACTGAGCTCTTCTTTATTTTGATTTTAACTTTGCTGTGCTTTGTATGCAACTGATGTCGATGATGCGGTACCGCACCGTATTTATAGTAAATCGTGTTCTACGGTTGAATACCTCGAACTTTCTATCAAAATTCAGTTGCGTATACTGTATTCCATACGAATCATCGCGAAAATTCTACACATCAAAAAAGTTGCGTTCCTTTCATTCTATCATTACACTGTTTGTGAGTATTGTATACTCTTTTTCATTGCGAATTCACTAGAACGTACGTGAAACAGCTACATTGGTTGCGTCATGCGTGTAGAAGTATCGAGAACCGTAAACACATATCGAGAAGCATGTATCACCGTATCGCCGGTTGGGTATAAATAGAGTCGCATGGCGATACGGTAAACAGTTAATTTGAAATACGCACATAGTTCAAAGAGTTCTAAAGTGAAGTGAAAAAAAAAAAAAACAAGAAAAAGATGGCTATGCAATTAAAAACCATTGCA